CCCCAAAACCCCAAAACCCCAAAACCCCAAAACCCCTCCAAATATAAAATATTTTGAAAATGGAGAAATTTATTGTTAAAATGAAGAAGCGTAAAACCAAGCGTAAGAAGAACAGTTCACGCTTGCCGAGCATAACCAAAAAGTCTAGAACAAAGTACTATTCCCTCTAAATCCTAGGTTTAATACTTTCATCAGTACAAGTGCAGAAAGAGGTAAGGATGCCTTGACGCAAAGAGTACTCTACCAAGAATACAGCTGAGAGTCATAGTAAAGCTTCCATTAAGCTGAAGAAAGGTAACTACAACAAATTTGTTGCGAGCTCAAGGAAAATAAAGAAGAAACCGGATAGGCCAGATATGTCTTTGTCTTTGAAACCCATGCACAAACGGTATTGCTTATAGTATTTACTATAGTGCTGCCAGCCAAACTCAAACAGTTCAGGTTTGGAGATATCTAACTTGTTGCTGTAGATGACTCTAGATCCTTCCAAAACAACTAAATTAATGAAGAAAGCATCAAGTAAACCAGTGTTCGATCATAAGAAACAGAAAAAGCAAGATGGTGTAAAATAGAGGGCTAGTAAGACAGTTTATAACTTCTGCAGACCCTCATGAAGTTTGTTTCCAAACTGAAATCCAACCAGGCAAAGGCAGTTAGGAGCCGACTTCAGAATGGCCAGTTGAACGAACAAGACTCAAAGAGTATTCTAACATCTGACTGTTGATAGACCAAATCCAGAGAGTCAAGTTCAAGGAAATATTTGCAAAGGTTGACAAATAAAAAGCTTTTAGGTAAATCAACTCAGGCATTTTTAGGCGAATGAAGCTATTGCTTTAGGAAAAAGTGTTTCAGGCTAGTAAATACTTGTTCACATGGAAGCTGATACACTGTAAGACATGAGATAAGACCTCTTACTTCTAGTGCACTCAATTCCTGCTGAACTTCAACAAACATATTGGTCACAATGGTAGCTTTCAGCATAAAACTCTAGAAATGAGGTGATTATATTGACCAGAAAACACTAAGAATGAACAGATGACTGAAGACAGAAAAATCACGAGGGAGTATCTCCATTACTGGTAAATTGTTTTGCTTAGCATGAAAGATATGACAACCATGGGCCTGACTACACAGCTGAAGCTCCAGTCACCCAAGATAAGCTTGAAGTAGTTTTGAGACTTAATCATTCAGGATACAAAAGATGTTTCACAAAACCTTCTCAACCCTGAAACAGGTATCTTTGATGTGCAAATTCTAGAATTTTGTGACCACCATGTTGACAAGAAGAACCATTATTGTATTGATTGAAGCATGCATTTGTGCTACAGATGACTTAAAGTATTTGTTCTAGTCATTTCTAGATAAAATAATCCTCATTTGAACCATAAAGTGTACTCGATTGAAGACCTTAACATTAAGGTTGAGCACTGAAATTTTAAGCCAATCTATGGTAGGCTCCTTTATTTGATCTCTAGAGCCTAAGATGGATGATTTGGTTATTCAGCTAGAAGCGAGTAAGCCATATTCATGACTAATAACACAGCTACAACATCACTATCTCATCAAAAAGATTTGTATCTTAAATAAGATTGAGACTGATTTTGAACTTCTAAAGAAGATAATTGAGAGTAAAATTTTATAAACCCCTATAGTCAAGAAGGAAAAAATCCTCACTGAAGTGTCCCAATGCTATGACTCCTCTATTGAGAAGGCAAAAGGCATGGTAGAAGCTTTAGAGCTGCTTAAATAAGCGATCAAATTTTATGGAGAAGCTCTCAAAACACTCCTGTATGTGTTGTCTTAACCCTAAATAGTGGAGGAGCAAGCCATTATAAAACGTTATAAGACTAATAATCTGTTCCAAATCATGAGAAGCGTTGTGAAAAGATCTGAGCTGAATAGTATAGATCAGGTAGATTTGACAGAAAGTCTCCTTTTGTTAGATCCTAATACCCTGAGCGATGGTAAGGAGAGCATCTAAGCATAGTCCACCGGATCATTGACAATATTAAATTTGCTCCAATTTCACAGATCTATCTCAGTAAAATCAGAGGTACTAGCATCAACGATTTATAGAGTTATTCACAAAATCAAGTATTTTAAAAGAGAGTCTCATTACTCCTGAGTTTGCAGCAATGTTTCCCAAACTACGCTCTAGTGAGCGCTTATTCCAACTGATCAGAGATGGGCCTAACCCATTTATATTTCATGAGAAGTGAGATAACAAAGGACAGACAATTGTTTTAGGTAATATTGCGTTCTTGCATATATTTTACAAGCAAGTAAAATCAGATCAAAAGCTTGAAGCCACCCACTCTATTGGATAAATTAGTAACTATAGTGCTAGTGATCTTTGGAATAAAGTATTAGTGTTAAGAAGTTCTACCTTGGGCATTTCAATTAAGAAAAATTCTTGAACCTTCAAGAAGTCAGATCTGTTGATTACCTACCTTAGCAATAGATATAAATAACACTAAGCTGGATTTTTTTATGATGCTTTAATACTCCTATCTAAATTTTACCTGTAGTTAAACTGCTGGACGGACACATCTTTGGCGGTTACAACCCAACGAGTTGGATAAGTGAGTATGTGTACTCTCAGTGTGAAGGTACTTCTCATCTAATCTCTAGATGCCTTCCTTTTCTCTCTGACTAATGGAAAAGGCCGTAAATGAATTAAATGTCCCATTGAACGACACAAATCGGACAAAGCTATAAAGCAGAATAAGACCAAGTATAGTCCTGGATTTGGGGAAGCTAATAACAGCGATCTCTTCATTGCTTTCAGGAAGCTGGATAATAGCTATAGCAGGCTCGGCAATGTTTATACGATTCCTCAACTTTTCTAGCAGGTAGTGAAACAGGCTGGGATATTGTGGAAGTTGAAGTCTGGAGCATCGGATAACTGATATATAAAGTTTCATTTTCAGTGATAGGGAGTATCTTGGGGTTTTGGGGTTTTGGGGTTTTGGGG